ATTGATTTGATTTCTCAACAATAAAGTATTTAGTATGTGAATGTAAAAGTTACTTTAAAGAAAATCACTATAATGTTTTCAATATGAGCAGAGCAGTATAATCAAAATGATATACATGAAAATATTTACAAATTTAGAAAATAAATAAACTTGGTACAGACTCACAACAAACAGCTAATTTAGCTTCAAACTCCAAAACATGTCAAAATCATAACAGTTGTAAATCTAATACAATATATATTGTATGTATTGTTATAATATAAATCTAATATCTAATAATATATTAAAAAAAGAGAGGACTATACAAAGAAATTAAAACATTTTAATCGACATCATCTACTAGTATTAGTGACAGTACCTGATTACTATTTATACGGATTAGTTTGGGCTGATGACGTGCTTGCTGTATGCACAACCGAGAGAATTCGAGACAAAATGGCCGAACAAAAGAAAATCTGAATTGAAATTTAAAGTAACATTAATGCAATACACAAAATATAAATTAATATTTACAGATGCAGCCATTAAAAAGTTAACTAAAACAGACGAAGAGCTTACCAAAAGTGGATGTTTTTCATTGTGGAAACAATTGTGTCTGTCGTGTGAACGGTTATTTATTGACAAGGCCTACGAAAGCTGTAGACAAATGTAGAATATATTGATGGTTTATCTCTGTAGTAGGGGTTGGTGGACACATGGACTTCATTTCCGGTGTTTACTGGATATACAAGAGCTGGGGGCGGGTGTCTCTTAGACGATTGGATGGCGGAAGCGATTCTTAGACACACAACAGATGTGACAACTATTTTTACGACAGTTGGGGCAACTATTTATACGAGAGTTTGGGCAACTATTTATACGAGATTTGATGCAACTATTTATACAAGTGTTGGGGTTACTATCTATAAGAGAGTTTGGGCGACTATTTATACGAGAGTTGGGGCAACTATTTCTACGAGAGTTTGGGCAACTATTTATACGAGTTTGGGCAACTAAAGCAATAGACAATTGCGACTAATGTCTCACAGAGTTTAGGATAGCAGGGGCAAGTCTGATTTACCATCAACACGATAGGGGCAAGTAAGTAATTGAGATGCGACAGTCCAGGGGTCAATTACATTGTTAGGCGATCTTGAACGTCACTGTGTAGAGTTTTATGAAGCCTGGTAGCCTTGGTCAACAAAACATGTCTATAAGTGTAGGTTTGAGCATAAGATTGGCACACAAGTTTATAGACATAAAAACTCACACACAAACAAAACACACAGAAAATAATCCAACGTGTTTCTTAAAGAAGAAACATTCAAAATATTCCTTGTAATCTAAAGCTAATATACACAATTAAACTAATATTAATTGTATTGTGTTAATTATTCTTTTATTATCCGCAGCCATTTGATACGTATTATTAGAATTGTTTTGTAATAGTGGAGAGTTGGTCCTAGTTCTTTATCTCAAATAACCATAGCTGACCTGTACTAAAAAGTTAGGTCATGAGTTGACAAACTTCACCTCACTGACCCATAGATGACCTGTACTAAAAACTTAGGTCATGTGTTGACAAACTTCACCTCACTGACCCATAGATAACCTGTACTAATAAGTTAGGTCATGAGTTGACAAACTTCACCTCACTGACCAATAGATGACCTCTAAGAACTTATGGTAAATGCTGACAGTTGCTTTTATTGACCCCATAGATGACCTGCACTAAAAACCTCTAACCATTTCAACACTAGCATCTTCCCATCAGTTGAAGCATTGAAGCCCTAGGAAAATCTCAATTACATTTTTATTTAGCAAGACCATATTATGATAGACTCCGTATATGCCAAATTAGGGGCTGTTTTTATTATATTTTGAAATAGGTGTAAGAAGAAGATTAGTACCTATAGCTGGCAAATGCTTATTTTCATTCACATTTCTTAATCAGATTTTATAGTAATATGATTATTAAAAAAAACTTAGAACAACGGTTAAAAAAAATATTTTTGTTATGGAGATTGAAAGTGTGTCCGCTTTAAAATAATTCACAATGTTATTGTAATGTGATTTTTTGTACATAGTCTTTTTTTTTGGGTGAAATAGATGCGTGATTACAGTAACGGTGTGCAAGGACAGTCAGATGTTTGGGGAAGGTGAAAGGGGATTGTGGGAAGGGTAAAAAAAATATGTGGGGAACGCCCACATATACATGTGGGAATAGTCAAAAGGGAATCTGTGTATTGGCCAAAAAGAAATATGGAAAAGATAAAAATGGAATACGGAAATAATCAAAAGGGATTTTGTGAAGGGCTAAAGTTAAATATAAAATACGCCATAGGTAAACTATTGGAATTACCAAAGTAGCCGTAGTAGGAATATAAAGCCGCGAAACGACACCATATAGCGATACAATATAAAGCTGAACCACACGGTTAAAGTACGTAATAAAAAACCAACTCACAGCTTTAAAATTCTAATTTAAAAGTGTTGAACACAGGGAACAATCATAATTCAAGCAATCGTCGACCCCATAATTATTTTTCTTTATTTATGGATTTCTCTAATTGACAACACTGTGCGTAGGCTCATGACAGGGAGACCCGCATCGCTAGGCGAACTAGTCAACAAGGAGGCGGAAGAGTTCACATACACGTTTGCGACATCAACAAGTTTTGAAATATTTGCTAAGGTATTGTAACTTACAGTCAGTGGAGCGATACGGGTGTGCAATGTATTTTCGGTAGACACCATCAACAAAACAATATAGTATTAGCATTTTCGACACGTAGTGCGTACAATGGAACACGTATGGTAGTTTAGACAGTGATGACGTAATGTCTTTGGGTAGAGGGTGATGATGTCGATGTCAGGGGTAGAAGGTGATGATGTCGATGTCTTGGGTAGAAGGTGATGATGTCGATGTCTTAGGTAGAAGGTGATGATGTCGATGTCTCAGGTAGAAGGTGATGATGTCGATGTCATGGGTAGAAGGTGATGATGTCGATGTATACGGTAGAAGGTGATGATGTTAATGTCTTAGGAAGAAGGTGAATCCTCTACGTCAGACATTTCCCCCAATCCTTTACGTCAGACATTTCCCCCAATCCTCTACGTCAGACATTTCCCCCAATCCTCTACGTCAGACATTTCCCCCAATCCTTTACGTCAGACACTTCCCCAATCCTCTACGTCAGACATTTCCCCCAATCCTTTACGTCAGACACTTCCCCCAATCCATTTCGTCACAAATTGTCAGAAAATTTCGTATCCCATTGCATACTTTATGGTATATGAAGGACCATGTGCACACTCTCATTCAATCTGATTGACTGTCTGTTCTTAAAGCTTATTAAAAGCTAATTGCTTATAGCTTCGTACGTCAGTGGACGAATGTAGCGAATAAAATGTCCTTTACTTACACCTAAATGATTCAAACTTGACAAAGCTGGTTAATATAAACTTTGAAATCGTTCATTGTTCAATTAATTTTAAAACAAAAATATGTTGAATATTTCTATATTATGTCTGTCTGTCTGTCTGTCTGTCTGTCTGTCTGTCTGTCTGTCTGTCGGTCTGTCTGTCTGTCTGTCTGTCTGTCTGTCTGTCTGTCTGTCTGTCTGTCTGTCTGTCTGTCTGTCTGTCTGTCTGTCTGTCTGTCTGTCTGTCTGTCTGTCTGTCTGTCTGTCTGTCTGTCTGTCTGTCTGTCTGTCTGTCTGTCTGTCTGTCTGTCTGTCTGTCTGTCTGTCTGTCTGTCTGTCTGTCTGTCTGTCTGTCTGTCTGTCTGTCTGTCTGTCTGTCTGTCTGTCTGTCTGTCTGTCTGTCTGTCTGTCTGTCTGTCTGTCTGTCGGTCGGTCGGTCGGTCGGTCGGTCGGTCGGTCGGTCGGTCGGTCGGTCGGTCGGTCGGTCGGTCGGTCGGTCGGTCGGTCGGTCGGTCGGTCGGTCTGTCTGTCTGTCTGTCTGTCTGTCTGTCTGTCTGTCTGTCTGTCTGTCTGTCTGTCTGTCTGTCTGTCTGTCTGTCTGTCTGTCTGTCTGTCTGTCTGTCTGTCTGTCTGTCTGTCTGTCTGTCTGTCTGTCTGTCTGTCTGTCTGTCTGTCTGTCTGTCTGTCTGTCTGTCTGTCTGTCTGTCTGTCTGTCTGTCTGTCTGTCTGTCTGTCTGTCTGTCTGTCTGTCTGTCTGTCTGTCTGTCTGTCTGTCTGTCTGTCTCTCTGTCTGTCTGTCTGTCTGTCTGTCTGTCTGTCTGTCTGTCTGTCTGTCTGTCTGTCTGTCTGTCTGTCTGTCTGTCTGTCTGTCTGTCTGTCTGTCTGTCTGTCTGTCTGTCTGTCTGTCTCTCTGTCTCTCTGTCTCTCTGTCCTTCTTTCCAATCACCCAATAGAGAACATCTGTTACATATTTATCCAAAGCAAATTTATTTTACAAAAGCATTACACGTAATAAAGCATTACACGTAATAAAACATTACACGAAATAAAAGGTTGGTGACATATCTCTCTTCACTATGAGACTGGCTAAAGACAAGCTGTTACTATCTGTGCTATTTCAATTGATATTGTTGATTGAAACGATCACGAAATACAATGAAACTACATGTGTAGCATATGTTGAAAAATGCAATCATACACATAAGATACGTGAGTATAAATATTTTGAAGTTATAATCACTCACTTAGTTAAGGTGTAAACTACAAATATATTCCATTTCAGGTTGCTGAAAAGAAGATTCATGAGTATCAAAACACTGAAAGAAACACATGCAGTTAAAATTTTAAATATAAAAAAATAATTGTTCTAAAATATTTTCTATCATGACCGTTTGTTCAACATTTTATTTTTCTGTTCATTGTCAAATTCAAATTTCAAATTCAAATTTATTCAAAAAAGGGTAACAATTGTAGGCACGAAGGCCTTTTTTCACATTGGCCGTTTAAAGAAATAAAACAACAATTCAATAACACATAGCAGTAACATAGCACTAAAAATGTCAGTGTTTCTTGTACATTTAAACAGCATAAGCCAAAATGGCTTCAAGGGAACTTCATTTGCTGATCACAGCTTTGATTTTGGTTGTGGGGGAATGCAAGGAAGACGAGCAGTACCAACTAAGGGCTAACGATTTAAAGAAAAGCGTTTTCGAAAAAAGGAAGAGTAAGGCATTACAAGTTAAATTTATACAATAAATATACTATACTGTATACTAAATTTACACAATACTCAAACTGGATGATACAAGTTAACCACTGCCTGATATTTATTTGGTCAGCATCAAGTTTCATGTTCATAAATTTCCTGATCACTCTCATATTCATAATAGATAAAAAGCCCAAGGTCAAAATATATTACTGAAAAATCTTAAGTTTAAAATATAAGATAGGTGTGGGCGGCTGTATACGCTACAGAATCTCCAGGATCTGATACATCAGTAATGTTTTAAAAAGCTGAACATATTTTATTTTAATTGTATATAATTATATTTTAAAAATTATAATTAATAAATGAGGAATAGGATTTTTGGTTTTAGGTATTTAAGTTAATGGCTAGGTTATGTTCGGAATTAAGTTTAAGGTTCCGGCTAGGTCTGAGATTAGTATATTGTGTCGTAAAGATTTCTGATACTTGAAATGACTAATGAATCAAGTGCTAACTCATCACAGATCCTTGCAAACCAGACGAGTTCAAGTGCGACATCGAGACCTGCTTACCACGTGACTCGACCTGTGATGGCCACGTCGATTGTAAGGACTCGTCCGATGAAACTTTCTGTAGTAAGTGTCAAAACGTCTCTGCTAGTATGCGAGAAACTCACAACTCTTTATACATAAACAACACACACACTCATACTTACATATATATATATATATATATATATATATATATATATATATATATATATATATATATATATATATGTGTATGTGTGTGTGTGTGTGTGTGTGTAGGGACAGAATGAGAGATAGAAATAGAGAGATAGTTACAATACAATCATACCGAGCAATAAGTTATTGAAGAAGTTAAAATTATTTCAACGACAATATTTCTAGAGCTATTATTTACTGACATTTAAATGTTAAATATTTGCTTAATTAAAGATTTGCTTCATTAAAGATTTGCTTAATTAAAGTTTACTTGTGTAGATAGTGTGAATGTGAATGTGAACGTGTTTAAAAAGATGTTTGGATATGAATGTTTGTGTCACTAACTTGCAGCTGTTGCTATGTAAGGATGTTTCTATCGTGTCAATAGTGATCTAACTTGCAGCTGTTACTATGTAAGGATGTTTCTATCGTGTCACTAGTGATCTAACTTGCAGCTGTTACTATGTAAGGATGTTTCTATCGTGTCACTAGTGATCTAACTTGCAGCTGTTGCTATGTAAGGATGTTTCTATCGTGTCACTAGTGATCTAACTTGCAGCTGTTGCTATGTAAGGATGTTTCTATCGTGTCACTAGTGATCTAACTTGCAGCTGTTACTATGTAAGGATGTTTCTATCGTGTCACTAGTGATCTAACTTGCAGCTGTTACTATGTAAGGATGTTTCTATCGTGTCACTAGTGATCTAACTTGCAGCTGTTACTATGTAAGGATGTTTCTATCGTGTCACTAGTGATCTAACTTGCAGCTGTTGCTATGTAAGGATGTTTCTATCGTGTCACTAGTGATCTAACTTGCAGCTGTTACTATGTAAGGATGTTTCTATCGTGTCACTAGTGATCTAACTTGCAGCTGTTACTATGTAAGGATGTTTCTATCGTGTCACTAGTGATCTAACTTGCAGCTGTTACTATGTAAGGATGTTTCTATCGTGTCACTAGTGATCTAACTTGCAGCTGTTACTATGTAAGGATGTTTCTATCGTGTCACTAGTGATCTAACTTGCAGCTGTTACTATGTAAGGATGTTTCTATCGTGTCACTAGTGATCTAACTTGCAGCTGTTACTATGTAAGGATGTTTCTATCGTGTCACTAGTGATCTAACTTGCAGCTGTTACTATGTAAGGATGTTTCTATCGTGTCACTAGTGATCTAACTTGCAGCTGTTACTATGTAAGGATGTTTCTATCGTGTCACTAGTGATCTAACTTGCAGCTGTTACTATGTAAGGATGTTTCTGTTTGAACCTCCCACCAGTTCCCTGCAGCCAGTCTAACAGTTTCCTGTGCACCAACAATAAATGCATTCCCACCTACAGTAGATGCGATGGTGCCAACGACTGCGGCGATGGATCCGACGAAGAGAAATGTAGTAAGTGTCAAGTATGAGACTACCGCGTTATCCGCGGGATAATGGTCTATCGGCTGAAAAAAACCCCTATTGTTACTCGCTCTACTCCCTTCCATATGTTTCTCTGCCCCCCCCCCCGCCCACCATCATACGCCATAACACCCGAACGAGCTGTGTGCTAAATTCGATAATTTAGAATAATAAATCAAACCAGAGGCGTAGCGAGGGGGGGGGGGGAGTGCGGATCGCACCAGGTGACACCATTTAGGGGGGTGAAACCAAGGCAAAAAAATAGCAAAATATATAGAGAAAAACTTGAGAGGGGGTGAAATTTGAAAGTTTGTCCCCGGGAAGGGTCGCTACGCCTCTGGGAGGTGACACTTTTAAGTGCCGCACCGGGCGACACCCGACCTCACTACGCCACTGAATCAAACATATTATCATTAAGTACAATCAGTGGGTTTAATAAAGTAGCCCTGTCCTTCACCTTCCTCTCCACTCTCCTCCATATACCTCTCCCCAGAATCCCCTAACCAATGGCGGCACGTTCAGCCAGCGTACACAAGGTCCTTCCGTGTACACATAGTCCTTCCATTTCATGTACATTAAACTCTCACTGTACAACCACGTGACCGCGTACACATACCGTACACACACGCATATGTACACGCACATGCATAAGTACACACACGTGCTCATGCACACGTACACGTACTCATAGACGCACGTGAACACGTACACGTACACGCTATTGTAATTTCCCGTATAGCTCAAGCTATAATTAAGAATTATATCTGTGTTGTATTGTTTACCACACTTCACGCAGAAGCTCAGGTATTAGCAGTACAAACACCTGTTACATCGCACTTTATATATTTTTAATTTAAAATTACAAAGAGATATGTTACTACCATTTGTTATAAAAAAAAGTGTCTAAAATTAGCTGTATTCGACTAAAATGGCGAAAAACTATCAGTAACTCCAGCTAAAACTACTACAGATGTGTTGATGGTGTACATGTAGACAGTGGCGTAGCGAGGTCGGGTGTCACCCGGTGCGGCACTTAATGGTGTCACCCCCCAGAGACGTAGCAACCCTTACCTGGGACAAACTTTCAAACTTTCGATTTGCACCCCACCCCCTCAAGTTTTTCTCTATATATTTTGCTATTTTTTGCCTTGGTGTCACCCCCCTAAATGGTGTCACCCGGTGCGGTCCGCACCCCCCGCTCCCCCCTCGCTACGCCTCTGCAAGTAGACCCTATCTAAACAAAAAAAAAACCAAGAAGGCCATCAATTCTCAATGTTTGTTATCTTCTGCCTTCTGCTAGTACGGTTGTAGAGAGGATTGGGGTAAAACGGACCTTAACATTACAAAAAAAAACGAGATTTCACTAGTTGGCCATACAGAGGTGTATGCAGCTTTGGGTTAGGGGGAGCGGCGAGTCGAAATAAGAGAATTAAACTTGATATCATGTTTATACCATGTTTCTGTGTGCCAATTTGGATATGATCCAAGCTTCCGCTGGTGAATCTGTCATATCTTTTGTATTGTTATCTTTTGTATTGTTAAAAATGTGTTGCTTTGATCCTCATTGCTTCAACATGTGGATGACCTATATCTAAGGTGATGTCGGTGCCCGATCTTTGATCAAATATAACCCTGGTCACTCCTCGACTTTCTAATAGCATGCTTTTGTGTAGAAACACTTTTGTTAGTCGTTAAAAAAAATACATTAATTTAAATTTGTTTTTTTTTGTTCTCATCATCGTCATTATTTACTTATATAAACCTCAGTCAGGGGATTATTATCCAGGGGGTTTATGTCGCGGGGGGGGGGGGGGGAGGAAGGGGTTGTCCAGGGGATTCATATCGCGGGGGTTAATGTCCGGGGGTTTATGTCCAGGGGGTTTTTGACCTGGAGCCTACTAACCCAGCCAAATAATATTTCAAACAATAATTCTAACCCCACATTATTTGAATCATAACCCGAATGTTTGTCATTCCAGATGTATCAATCGTGTCCTTAGAAAACGAAAGTGCCAATTTGACGTTCACCATTCCCAACACAAAACAAGCGAATGGATCCGTTTTAATTACCATCGGTAACGGAGTCCCCCCGGCTGGTAGCAATTTTGTTTTCCTGTACCCAATGACCTGGAGCTTTAAATTTAAGACTAACCACACGGTGAGGGTGGATCAGGCAAAGAGGAAAGTGGAAATACAAATTAAAAATGTGACTGCTAAGGATGCTGGTCATTACAAATGTTATGTGGGAGCCAGTGATATAGTTGTGGATGATTGTGGGCTGACATTCGTTGTACTGCGTGAGTATACAACACGATTTTCGCTGCTCATTAGCATATTGATACTTTTCAAAGTGTTTAAAAATCTGAATGTTTAATCTTTGGACTTTGACCATAATATAGTTAAATGATGTGATTGGCTACGTTTAACCAATGATCACCGTGTGAATTTTTTTTTATATTTAACGAACTTATAAAAACACTACTTGTTCTTCTTCTTTGTGGACCTCTTCCAAATGAACGAGCCACGAAATTTGATCAAAGAGTTATCTCCCTTATGTAACTATGAAGATTTAATTCCCTTTGATCGTGATGTAAAAGATTCTTCATGCAATTTACTTCTTCATTTCCTGACAGGCAAACCCAATCCCCCAGAGGTCATCGTACTGTCCAGACCGCTGGTTGGCGACACACTGAAACTCTCCTGCAAACCTCACTCCACGAGCCTACCCCCTGACCACGGGCTTCCCTCCCGTATTTGGTGGTTGGACCAGATGGGTGTTAGCCTGGTTCCAGGGTCTAATCAACGAGTACGATAGTTAATCAATCTTTAATTGTCCATTTGTAATTAACACATATCTACGTATTGTGTAGACCTATGGTAAAACAAATATGTTTTTAAAAATATAATAGAGCTAAAACATTTTGTTTGCAACACATGCTATATTTTATAGGGCTGGTAAGTAGGTCACCAACCAGTTCTATGGCTCATGCAGGTTTTATTGAGCCGTAGAACTGGTTGGTGACCTACTTACCAGCCCTATAGCCGAAAATTTTCTTTGAAAAAAAAATAAAGTTAAATAAATAAATACCATTGAACCTACACTGTTTCTGCAATCTTTAAAGCCAAAATATAAATCTAAATGCTTCTTTATTATTTTTAGCTAATACTGCTAGAGATAACCTAATATGGTATTGCATTAAGATAAAACTTCCAGGGTAATTCTCCACGCTCGTTCCTGGTAAATGCTAGAAATGAATTAGAGCTGAGTTCAATCAGTTCAACAGACAAAGGCCTCAAATTTTCTTGCAAGTCTGCGGACGGAAAACCGGACTATCCTAAAGAAAAGCTTCTGATGTCTGCCGCAAGTACTACGTATGTTTTGGTTCCAGAATGTAAGTATTACCAGAAGCAGCATGAATGTAATAAACATTTGATCACCCTAATGTAGGGAGGAACGTAGAACGATGTAAGGACAGCCAGACATATAGTTAGAGGCCATATTATATTGTTGGTCTGCCTAAAATTACATTGCTAATGTATGTTAGAAAACTAATATATTATAATGTAATAAATCGTTTACAGTTGAACCCCATAGCGAACCCCTCACATTTAGGATTTGTTTAAATTAGACAGAATATTGACAACGTTAAACAATTGAAAGTTGTAACAAATAAGAAAATGTACACAGTAATGCAATGAGCAGGACATACCCCAGCATTAATTACCTCCCCACCCTCGAACCTATACCCCCTCGACATTACCCCCACCCAAGAAATTACCCCCTCCCCCTCCTTGTCCGGAGGCTAGGGCTAGGGCTAGGGCTAGGGCTAGGGCTAGGGCTAGGGCTAGGGCTAGGGCTAGGGCTAGGGCTAGGGCTAGGGCTAGGGCTAGGGCTAGGGCTAGGGCTAGGGCTAGGGCTAGGGCTAGGGCTAGGGCTAGGGCTAGGGCTAGGGCTAGGGCTAGGGCTGGGGCTGGGGCTAGGGCTGGGCCAGATTTGATGGGAGGTCATGTTGGGGTGATGTCCTGGGCAAGGGTTAATTGACGGGCTTTATGTCCTAGAAACGAGAATGCTATATAGCTTTACCTCGTGGAGTAATGGGTGAAAAAATGTCACATTACAATACGTCAAGGTCACAATTTTATTTACATTTTGTGGAATTTTATCTGCCAGTTAAACCACTTGTAGCTAACATGACAATAACATTTGTATAATTTTATCTGCCAGTTAAACCACTTGTAGCTAACATGACAATAACATTTGTATAATTTTATCTGCCAGTTAAACCACTTGTAGCTAACATGACAATAACATTTGTATAATTTTATCTGCCAGTTAAACCACTTGTAGCTAACATGACAATAACATTTGTATAATTTTATCTGCCAGTTAAACCACTTGTAGCTAACATGACAATAACACCACCGGCTACTCCCAATGGGCAGATTTCTAAAAACATTGGAGACCAAATCAGCTACACCTGTGACATTCAATGTTCCCCTCCGTGTGAGGTGAAATGGTTGTTTAAACCCAACGACAAAATCAAGTGAGTACAAGTTCTCCCCTTAGTAAAAACAAATATAACTACAGATAAACAACATGCAAACACCATACGCATTTAGAAAAAAAGAAAAATAATAATAAAATAATGATGCATTACTTTAATAAGCTATTTAAACAAACCATTGTTTGCGATGATCTAAAGTAGACCACTTAAATGAGCTAAATTTGTCTTCCTTTTGATAAAATTTCATGAATTTTCTAAAGTTTTACCCAAGTGGTTTCACAAGTGGATACCAAGATTTTGAAAGTTGTGGTCAACTCTTCTTCGATTGGAGTCTACAGGTGTCTGGGATCCAATCCACATGGGTCTGTTCTAAAAGATTTCAATCTTAATGTCCAAGGTAAGTACTACACAGGTCGTTTTGTAGTTTAGCTTCATTTTTAATGATTTTGCCTCGCATATACGATTTTAGATAATAAAGTCAAGGTGTATTAAAGAGGTGAATTGATTGGCTGAGTTAGATTTGGATAAAAACAATTAATTGTATACAACTGTGTCTAATATACATATACATTTTTATACATATATATATATATATATATATATATATATATATATATATATATATATATGCTTTTCTTTTTGTCTTAAACAGTTCGGTGGGTTGCAGGTACGTAAGGGCTCTCAAATATATAAACCTACATTTTTCAGTGATTGCAACAACCTATTGCATATATATATATATATATATATATATATATATATATATATATATATATATATATATATATATATATATATATATATATATATATAGGCCCCTATATATATATATATATATATATATATATATATATATATATATATATATATATATATATATATATATATATATATATATATATATATATATATATATATATATATATAGGCTATATATATATATATATATATATATGTGTGTGTGTGTACGTATATATTATATAATTATATGTGTATGTTGGAATTTAATTATGTTTACATGCATTATATTTCATGGGTACGCGAAAACCTGTCTTCAAAATGAATGTACAATAATATTCAGACACACACACACATATATATATATATATATATATATATATATATATATATATATATATATATATATATATATATATATATATATATATATATATATATATATATATATATATATATATATATATATGTGTGTGTATATATGTATATATATATATATATTTATTTATTTATATATATAATTATACATAAAGTTATGGTTTTTACATAGATCTACCTGAAGTTGTGACGAGGCGACCGGGTGCCAATGGACAGAGCAAGGAGATCATTGCGTGATAAACTGCGTGCAACACTTCTGTTGAAACATTTGCTTTTGGAACAGTTTCTATTATTTAATGTCCTTATTTTCTGTAATTATATTTAGGAAATCAATTATAATTTTTAATAATTGAGAGTAAAACACCAGAATGTAACATGTATGAAAAATAAAATTTAAATCTTTTATCCTATTATATGTGTACTTGCTATAAAGCCAATCCGAAAACAGGCAGCCAAAAAATGTTTTCAGTTTTTCATGGTCATTTACGAAGGATGTTATTTGATGTGAAAAAAATTATACAAACGTAACAATTTTATTGTCAATTATTTACTACAAAGAAACAAACTAATTTATAATCGATGCCACACGTAACTTAATCCTGATTTTTCGGAGCCCAAAAATTTTCTCTACCAATCGTAGTAAATTTCACTATGCAACGCCATTGTTGGTTTTTATTATAAAAAACGTTATTTTAATGTTTGAATCACAAGTTTATTTCATTTCTTAAAAAATATCAAACACCGGCACACACTTCGGTATAATAACCAGCTGTCGCCACCATCTATTAGACATTGTTTACATCAAGCGTAAACTCCATAAAATAACCTAAGCTAGACAGCGTCTACTTGTGTCAATACAAATCAACATACACGCCAGTTATGTAAGTGTCTTTACAGCATTTATCTTACGTGCGTAAGACATCGAACTGAAATAAATATCCATGAGAATGTCAAGGTCAGAGAGCAAACGATAAAACCTGTTGGCATTTCTTTAATATCCAGACACCAATATATATATATAAATATATATATATATATATATATATATATATATATATATATATATATATATATATATATATATATATATATATATATATGTATGTGTATGTGTGTGTGTGTGTAAAAGTCTGCATGTATGTATATGTGTGTGTGCGTGTATATATAGATATGATATATATTACAAGGGATGCAACTACTGCAACCATTTAGTATTTTAAAAAATAATGGATTATGTCCCTTACTTTATTTTAACTGTTTAAAATGAAATGATGACCTACTGATTAAATTTCATTGATAATCAACAGTATTAACTGACACATCCAAATCAAAGCACCCACCCCCCTCCACCATCACCTCCCAACCTACCCCTACACAAAACGAAATAAACCACGATCTCTAATCACCGGCCCTAAATTCATAATAATTAAAATTTTAAAAATTATTATAAAAGCATTAGTTGTTTTATACCTACTTTAGACACATTTTAAGACAGAAATTCATCCACCGGCTTGCGACATTTAGATGAATATCTAAAGCTAAAATAGTCTTGCATTGAACACGAAAAATGCTAATATGTGGTTATTTTATGGTAACGACAACGCCACCACCTGATACGTCAGACATTCCTTGGTACCTATAATGAGGTGCAACATTTTTATCCTAATTATCGCTTGTAGTCAATTAAATTCAGGGCCTCATTAGGTTACGTGAACAGCGTGTATCTTTTTTAAACTTCGTCATGGGTAAATATTTGGCAGTGACCGATATGTCAGTGTGACATGGCAGTGTCTCCTTGTCAGTATTAGATGTGACTGTCATATGAACAAGATCAGTATGATGAATTACGTAATCAAAATCAACTTCATAGTTTATTCAATATACAAACAATACGTCTTCATCATCATCATCATCATCATCATCATCATCATCATCATAATCATGATTATCATCATCATCATCATCATCATCATCATCATCATCATCATGATTTTCATTATATCATCATCATCATCATAATCATGATTATCATCATCATCATCATCATCATCATCATGATTTTCATTATATCATCATCATCATCATCATAATCATGATTGTCATCATCATCATCATCATCATGATTATCATCATGATCATGATCATCATCATCATGATTATCATCATCATCATCATCATCATCATCATCATCATCATGATTATCATCATCATCATCATCATCATCCTCATCCTCATCCTCATCCTCATCCTCATCCTCATCCTCATCATCATCATCATCATCACCATCATCATCATCATCATCATCATCATCATCATCATCATCATCATCTTTTCCTTTTTGTGCCCAAGACACACGGGGCCGCCAATACCTGATCACATATATCCCAATCATTACACCTGATAGCATGAGCTTAAGGCATGAATCTGAAGCCATACATCGCCATTGTTGCAAAACTTGAAACCACCCAATTTGGAAGGACAAAACCGACCAAGTGCAAGCATATGAACAACCAATAGAAAAAAAGAACATTAATGGAAAAAAAAACATGTATTAAAATATACTCTTACGTTTCTGCTAGTTTTTACAATTTTTTTTTAATTAGATAAGAACGAAAATTTGAAATTGTGTTTTTACTGGTTGCAATGTGAAGGTAAAATAAAGAAAAGAAAAGACAGTTATGGTAAACAAAGCTGTTTCAGTGAATACGTATATTATATTACATGATTTTAAGTTCTGTGTAGGATAGGACGGGTAGTGTGTTGTTGAGTTGTATGGTGTGTGGGTAGGGTAAAGTAGGAGGGCTGGTGTGGGGTAGGTGTAGTGTGTTGTGTGGTGGGGTGGGTTGGTGCGTAAGGACTATGGTTGATGTCAAGTATGAAGTCTGGTGCGGGGTATGGGGGGTTATTGTGTTGTGGGGGTGGGGTTTGATAATGTGTAAGGACTAGTGTCGGGCGGGTGTGGGGTATGAGGGTAAGGCGACGGCGTGGTGTTGTAGTGTGGGGTGTTGTGATATAGGAGAGTGTGTGAGGGTAGTAATGTGTGGAGGGGTGTGATGGTGAGATAAGGGCGGGTGCAGTAAAGCCGATGAGGTTGGGTATGTAGGTAGGGTGTAGTAGGGTGTAGTAGGGTAGGGTGGGGTAATGTAGTAGACTTGGGGGGGGGGGGGGGTAGAAAGGGTAGGGTGGAATAAAGGACAAGAGGGCGGGTTGGTGTTGGGCAGTTGGTCGGTGTGTGTGGGGGGGGGGTGGTGGTGGAGGTGATGGCGTTGGATGGGTGTTGTGGTATTGGGCAATAGGTGTGTGTATGGAGATGGTAAAGTTGGGTAGGAATGGGTGGGGTGGTGTGGGTGGGTAGCACAGGACAGCTAAATACTTCTTCGTCCCCGGCGATATTTTTCTATCAATGTATCAACACTCACACACACGTGACTAATGCCTAGAGGTTACCGTGGGGGGGGGGGGGGTCGTCCTTGAATCACACAGACACGTTTAGCCACCAGTCAGCTACCGGACAGTGGGACTGGCCAGTGGTCACCTGACAGAAGTCACGTACTACCCCCTAAGGGTGTTGGGGGCGGGTGAAAGGGGGTGGAGTCACTGCTCTTCCACGCATCACTGAGCAGAGAGCCAGCACTTGGCCAAGGTCACGCTCGAGTGAACACACGGAATCCTCCACACGCTCCACTCCAGGTGGATAAAATTTACCCCCACCCCCTCCCCCTCCCCTAGCTCACTGTACCCTAGATTCAAAGACATCCTAGCATGTATACACTGCTACTTATTTACCCGAGCGGCTGGGATATAGATCTATATGTGTAGACGCATCAAGTGAATACAGTCTTTAGAACCACTGCAAACTTTCGCGTGACCGACTCTTCTATAAATCCGATTTCTTAATTTCATCACTGAGACATGGATTAAAGCGGATATTACGTAATGTTTTTGAGCCTCCTCAGGCATATCAGGTAAGTCAATTTCTATATTAAAGTAGCATTACGTAACCACGTATCCATTTTACCAACTCAGTAGAACTACCAAAAGCTGATAACCAATATTTAACCATAGAAAGAAAAAAGTCATATGTCTAGGTAAATTTGATAGTAATAGTTAGATCAATAATTGGGATTATATTTTTCTCATTTCAATGATGCACTAGAAAGACGGTTAAATTTTGTATAAAATGGAGGATCAATTTCAGGCAACTCATTCTGGTTCTTATTTCTTAACAACATTAGATTACGATTAATTAATTAGAGACATTAAAAAGTGACATATTTATTTAAAAGTTGATAAAATATCAGTAATTGGTCTCACAGTTCAATAGTGCTCCAACTAGTTGGTTAAAATCTGTACAAACTAAAGATGAATGGACGATAATATACAATTTAATCAACAGAAAGCCTTAACAATATTTGAGGTTATGACTATTTAAAACAGGAACAAAACACACGCTTACGTATCCTTTTACATAGTTAGTATTTAACTACGCACAAATATAGAACTAGTTGTATAAAGTAGGGCCTACCTTTTTCTGACTTTATATAATTTTTTAATATCTTTATAACACCAAACCCTAATCTTGGGTTTTACATCTGCATCGTCACACTTGTGAGACATTCCGTACTTCCAATATCCTCGCGTCTTGACCAAAACGTTCGTTGTTTATTCAGCTTACGTGTGTTATTTAGCCTGGGCTGCTTGTGATAGATACATTACAAAATTAATCAAATTTATATATTGTTTTCTCATGTTATCAGACACTTTGAATACAATTTTTAGACCCACTAACGTTAATCAACATGCAATTCTAATGGACTCTACTTTGTAATTTTTCTTTGACTGCATTACTTTTAGGCCAAAGCTGTTTCCAGTCGACTGGGAATAGACACTTCGTTAGGCTACTAATTCCCCACACTAATTAAACAGTATCACTCTCTTATTTATAGGGTGTTAGATATACCAAACTTTTCTAACCTGATTTCTAGACGCAACACTATGAGAAGTGGCTGTGCTAATGACTTGACACCCCCATTTCTCGACATTCCGTGTTTCGGATCGGGTTATTTAGAAGTCAGTCATTCAATGATTTAAATACTGGCGTAGGAATGTTTTAATGCAGGGGGTGGGGGGAGGGAGCTATCCGGGTCTTAGTTCATACTTTAAGAGCAATACCCCTTCAGGATATACACACATTGCACAAATCAGGGCCAAACAATGTATGCCAAACATATCTCAAACTAGTTCAAGAACTAAAGTTGTTTCTCTACTACGCAGCGATATTATTATAATGTATACAAACGTAATGTTATCAGTGAATGATAAAATACAATCTAATGTTGACAAACACAAGTTTATTGTGACGGTTGACCGAGGTTGGATATAATTACAAGACAGCGTAATGAATAATCGTACACAACCGTATATAGTATATAGTCATATCATACATCCATATCAGTGTATTTTAAGTAAGGTGGTGTATACAAAATGCTATAATAGGCCCATTATACACAACAGCATATAGATCTAGGTCTAGCATATCATAAATTGTTGTGAGTGTATTTTAAGTAAGGCCGTGTTTACAATATGCG